AAACCACCCAGGGTTAGTCCTAAGGGTGAGCATCCTGTGGGCACTCTCTTTGAGCTCTTCCATACTGACCACACCTACTAAGTGCTAGAAGTCAGGACCAACATGTGGAACTTCAAGTTGAGTAGAGAAGAGTGTAGAATTTCTAATGGTGAGGGTTCCTTTTCTAGTCCTCTTGGAATAGTCAAGAAGAAGAAGAAAAGGAAGAGGAGGATGATGAAGAGTAAAATTTATTTGGGTTTTGTTTGTTTTTTATATTTTGTTTGTCTAATGTTGTGTTTGTTTTTATGTTTTATTGTTGATGGTATGAGTTGGAACAATTTACGTGTTTAGTTTCGGACTTATTAAACCGGTATATGTAATAGTAAATGCAGTTTTTTTTTATTTTTCAGTATTTTTAGTTGCTTTAGTTTACTGTTTATGTTTTCATTTATCTTTTCTTAGCAAATCTTTTGATATATTATGTCATTTAATGCTTTAATGTCTGTACTTTTTAAGTTAGCACCTGCAAAATATCAAGAGCCAAGTTTCATATTCATAGTCCTCTACAGGTTAGTTTTTTTTATGCATCTACTGTTTTTTTTCACCTGCAAATTTTTTATACAACATGCTTTACTTATTATTTAAAAATTTAAGTTTCGGGGAAAAAAATTTCTTTAAAAGAAGTTAACTAAGTTTTGTTTGTCCTCAATTAACTATACTTTTAAAAATTTATTTAGCATGACCATGGGTATTAGAGTTTAACTTTAAATAACTATATTTTTATTTGTAAATATTATGGTAAATTTAAGCAAAAATCTTTAATAATGAAGGTCAATTCTAGAGTTAAGATATTTAGTATGAAAGAATAATACTTTGTTTTTCTATTTAAAGTAAAAGAAATTATATTTTTGAAATATTAAGAATCTAAGAGTTTCACTTAAGAAGAAAAGAATGAGACTTTATGAAAAATCTTTAAGGCTAATATGAATTTATAAAGTAAAGGAAGGTAAGAAGTTTTGACTTTTAAGAAGAGGAAGTTCAAACTTATTAAAGACTATCTAGAAATAATAATCCTTACATGAAAAAAAAAAGGATTGAAAATAATCCTAAAGAAAAAGAAAAGAAAAATAAAAAGAAAAAAAAGAAAAATAAAAAGAAAAAGAAAATAAAAATATGTAAGGAGAAGCTTGAGGAGATGTCAAATCAAAAATTGGCTTCACTTGAATCAACTTGAACAAAAATGCATTATTACATTTTTTAAACTTGTATCTCAGTATTAAATCCTTACTAATAAATTTTTCATGAAATTCTTTTTCATATGGATATTGTAAGTATCTTTGATATGCAAATTATAATTCTTCTTGAAATGAATGGAGATTTAGAACTTTTAGACTTGATTAATTTGTATTCTTATACTTGTAGTTTTAACCTAAGTTGTTAATTTTTTTCCTTAAATTATACCATTATATTTATTAAAACAAATTATAGAAGTTAATCTTTGTCATAAGTCATATTTTTATCTAGTAAAAGGTTTATTTGAGAGCAAGTAACATTTAATATTGGGGGATTTTGATACACCAAAATAATGTACTATTTTATTTATACATTTTATACTTATTTTGGTGATATTGCACTTTAAAGAAGGGTATTTTCATATTTTTATTGCAGGTATATTAATTTTAGTCATTTGGAGCAAAAAGTAGCAAAAAGGAGAAAATTTGGAGCCAAAATAAAGAGTTTCATGATCCTGGTGCTAGAGGCACCATTTTCCAGAGAGCTGGCTCCAGAGGCATCATTTTACCGCAGAGGTGCCATAATTGGCGCCAGAGGTGCCAGAATCTAAGGAATAGTGCAGACTTTATTACGCCGGCGCCAGAAGCGCCACAGGCAAATTAAGACGGAGTAAGACAGTTCATAACTATTTTTGAGCAGTTTTTGATGGATCCAAACAATTTAAACGTTCTATGGAGTGGTTCAATGCATCTAAACACTTTGCAAACTCTTTAATGAAGAGAGATGTCTCTTGGATGAAGGTACTTGTCTCTTGGTGTTAAAGATATGACTTTTGGGAAAAAAATTAGAGGAATTTTTAAATTCCTTTGGAAAAAAGGCTGGCCCTGATTAAAACGGAGAAGTGTCTAGAGAAGAAGAGGAGTGTGAGATAAAGAGGAAAGTCTTGGAGGAGAGGAGTCTTGGAGAAGAGAGGATTTTCTTCTACGGTTGTAAGAGGAGAGAGAACGTGAGAGATTTCTTCTTCGTGACACTTCTAAAAGAGAATTGAGTGTGACTGTAAAGCGAGAAAGTGCTTAAAGGGAACTTCTAGGGATTTGCTTAGGAAGGACTGTGAGATAAGTTGTGTTCGTTTGTTTCTTTATTTTGTAAACTTGTTTTTATATATGAAGTCCGTGTTTTGTCGTATCCTTCTCATGAATTCTAAGTAGTCTTTTTTATCTTTCTCCCTGCAAAGAGATATGGTTCTGTGAATAATTAGTTTTATTTTGTAAGGTTTTAAATGTCAAAAAATTGTGATGATTTGAACTTTGATCTTCATTTACTTTTCGATCTGTTTAATTGAAAAGTTAAAATTTATTGAGAAACATATAATCTGAAAGGGCTATGCTTTCTACAACATGGTAAGAGTCACATTTAATTTCATGGGTGAGAATGTAATCCATGGGGTTGCGTGCAAATAAAAAGGGAAATATACTTTGATGGGCGCAGAAGTGAAGATAATAAGGTGACAGATTAAAACCTCCAAATTGGACCAGTTGCTTGGAAACTAAAACGAGATTGTTAGCCCTCAAGAGAGGGAGAAGTGAGAGCTCTAAAGTGGCAGCCAATATCCTTTCAACCTAACCATGGATTTAGGGACCAAACTCTGGATTGGTTAATGTTTTTTTATGAACTCTCAGAGGGTAAAGAATATGATTGCATCTATTTTGCACAATACAATTTTATATGTATTTTAAATAATTTTAATTTCTTTACACTTCATAAACTCATTGTAAAAGGGAATGATGTTTTCTTAAATTTGAACTCGTCGTTTCAAAACTTTGTTTAGTCTTTATAATTTTACTTTTAAAGTTAGCAAATAGTCAGTTAACTTAGTTCTTTCAACTGCATTTCATTTAGGCACATTAAATTTACTTCGGATTTGTTTTGCTTATTTAAGTTTTATACTTTGAATATTATGTTTGACGTTATAACCATAATAATTTCCGACTCCCTGTGGGATCAATACTTAGGACTACATTAGAAATTATTATGGTTATTTCATTATACTTTGAATATTATGTTTGTCTTTATTACTTGAGCGATATATATACTTGCGTTATTATTACGAGGTTTGACAGCTTAGAGATTTTAAAAGATAAAATTATTTATACTAAATTTATTTTTATAATGATTGAACTGCATATTTACTATTAGTGCTGACGTGTGTGTATTATAATATTGAAAGATATTGACAACGCACATCACAGAAATCGACCGCCGCATCAGATATTTTATGGGTATTTAATTTTATAAAACATTTAGTATTACTTATATTGTTCTAATTTCAAAAAAAATGTTAAATTTGAAATGTGGAATCATTTCAAGCCTATAATTTTATTTGTATTTCTAATAAAATTACTTATAAAATCATATTTTATAGAATTATTCTTCTAATTCCTAAATCATTTCTAAAATTAAATTCCAGTTTGTAATGGGGTCATGTCATCAATTATAATGCTCTATTGGTCCAAGAATGACTCATGATTTTAAAATGTATTGTTGTAATATTTTTTTAAATCGAACATTACTAAATCTTATGACTCTTCAAAATGAGATTTTTACAAAAAAATATATTAGCTTTAATTAGCTTTCATGATTTCTTTATTAAAATAATAAAAGTCATGTGAAAATAGTTGGTACTCTATCCTAATAAAAGGATCTACACATGATTTATTTCTTAAATCTTCAACATGTCATACAAGGCGATCCTCTTTCTTCTACTATATTTATAATGGATATTAAATATTTATCTAGTTGTTTAATCAAAAAATACATGGATTATCTTCATTTAATTTTAGAAGTTAAATAAAATTTTTATTTAGCCTTCTGTGATAATTTTTTTTATCTTTTCCGATAGTAAAGTTGCAATAGTTAGAATTTTTAAAAATTTATTGACCTCTTTGAAGAGAAAAAGTAATATCACCTTTAGCTCTAATAAGTCACATTTTAACTTCAAAATTATTGCCGTCTTAACATACGAGTTGAGTTACGACTATTACAATCTTTTATTTCAAAATACTCTTCACATCAAATATGTGGGTATTTCATCATGTAAAAGGGGAAAAATGATTTTTTTTTTATTTAATAATTTGCTTTCTTCCTTTCAAAATAAACTTTCTACTTAGAATTCAAAAGGCTTTCACATGGTGGTAGATGTGTCATTTTCTAGTGTGTGTTATGTTCTATCCCAATTTGCTTACATCATATATTACATCCTACTCTGTCTATATATAATAGGATTGAATGATTAATTAATAGGTTTCATTAGAATTCATCTTCTCATAATAAAAAGATTCATTGGGCTTAGAGAGTCCCAATTTGCTTACATCATATATTACATCCTACTCTATCTATATATAATAGGATTGAATGATTAAATAACATTAGAATTCATCGTCTCATAATATAAAGATTCATTGGGTTAGAGAGAGAGTGATTCTTGAAGATGATGCTGGGTTTAAAAGAACTTCAGAATTAATTAAAACATGTTTAGTAATTATCAAATAATTAAAAAATAAGAATATAATTTGTGGGCTGTCTTACAAAATAAATACTATGTCAACTTTTATAAAAATCAAAATTATTTAATTTGAAAGTAATTTTGCAGTAATAACTGAGCGGAATCATTCAAGAGTGTTGAAAATATATATTATTTTATTTTTTCTTTTTGACTAGATAATTGGTGTATATATATATGCAGACTTAACCGGATAAGTATTCCTTGTCGTCGGTTGTGTCCGGCGATGAAGTGGCTAAGTGGGAGGTCGTGTTGCTTATCTATTTCACATCGTTCCGCCATTTTCTCAACCAAAAAGAGGGAAAAGAGACCCCAAAACTCTCTGGCGTCGTCGATCTCGAAAACCAATTCACTCAAAGGGAAGCCGGATAAGTTGCGGAGAAGAGGAAGTTTAGTACATCTGAAGCATCCCGATAAGAAGAGGTCCTGACTCTAGCGGCATGCAGTCTCAACCAGATGCCGACCGCAAGGCGCCGACATCACCGGCGTTAGTGGCCGCCGCAATGGCGCATACGATCCAACCCTCTTCTCCGCGCTTTTTCTTTTCGTCCGCCGCAGCGGCGAACCCAAATATTGGCTCTCACCGCCGGATTGCAATTGCTGTCGATCTGAGTGATGAGAGCGCATACGCAGTGAGATGGGCGGTGCAGAACTACCTTCGCCCTGGGGACGCAGTTATTCTTCTCCATGTACTCTCTACCTCTGTTCTTTATGGCGCGGACTGGGGCTCGGTCGACCATTTCACATCAGAGGCCGCCGGTGCTTTGGAGGATGCCGAATCCAAGGTGCCGCAGAAGAACTTGGAAGATGACTTCGATGCCTTCACTAGCACCAAGGCGCAGGAACTGGCCCAGCCGCTCGTCAGGGCGCATATTCCTTTTAAGATCCACATCGTCAAGGACCATGATATGAAGGAAAGGCTCTGCCTCGAGGTGGAGAGACTTGGGCTTAGTGCTGTGATCATGGGAAGCAGGGGATTCGGAGCATCGAGGAGGAGCAGCAAGGTTGGGCTCGGCAGCGTCAGCGATTACTGCGTCCACCACTGCGCCTGTCCAGTGGTCGTGGTCCGTTACCCCGATGAAACCGGAGATGGCGCTGTGTCGGTTGGGAATACTTCTCACTGTGGCGATGCTGCTGCCGCTGCTGCCGATAAGGAAGCGGAGCTGCATCCGGTGCCGGAGAAGGAATACCATGATGCTTCCGACGGACAAAAAGGTCAGCGTTTCTTATTTTTTATATTTTATGAATATGCTTTCTATAACTAGACCTTAAATTTAGAACTAGGCCGGTGTGCAGGATGTTGATTTTATTCTTGTGTTTGTCTTTGTACTTTTGAGAATGTGAAAGGTTCTTATGTCATTGTCATGCTGAAGATTAATCATTGTGTGAAGAAGGATAGGTGAATGGTGGCCTTTCTTTGTAGGAGAGAGTTTTATTTGCCCTTCTCTTGCTGCAAAGTTTGACTACAGATTATCTGATATATTTAAGAAAATTCACCTGATCAAGTATGAATTCTTTTGTAGGAGATAGTTTGAGTGTTTTATGTGGGTGTTTTGGTGGCTTTGGCGCCTTTTAATATGTCAGAAGAAATTCATCTGATCAAGTATAATTTTTTGTGCAATTTTTCTTTTAAAATTTTGGAATTAAATTTAAGATTATTTATGCTCCAATTTTATAAATTTATAGTCAAATTAAATGTTTTAACAAGATAAACTTGATGACACCAAAGTGATATGATTTGAGTCCAAATAAACCCAATTTAAACCCTTAAAAGTGTGGTTGAAAATTTTAGAACATTATTTGAAGTGTCAATGATCCTCGAATCGTACATCATTACAGTCAAGTCAAACTTCTTGATGAGTTGAATTTTATAAGTATAGGATTATTTAATTCATCGGTCATTAATGCTCTTAATGCCAAATTAATGAGCTTTGATCAAATAAATCAAGACGAGCTATTCGATAGAGTGATTTAGAACTTTGGCCAAATTGCTCTACTGCAACAACAATAACAAGCCCTTATCCCACTAATTGGGATCTGCTACATGAATCTTTTTTCTTCATTGCACCCTATGGAGTGTCATATTTTCATTTAATTCTAATAGATTAAGATTATTTTTTATACAACAGACCCAAGTCTTTTTAGGTCCACCTCTTTCTTTCTTAACAGTAGTCGAATCTAAAACATCTACTCTCCTCACTAGATTATCAGATGGTCGACGTTTAATGTGAGCAAACCATCTAAGACGACTCTCTCTAATCTTGTCCATCACCAGAGCTATACCAACCCTATCACAGTATATTCCTTTTACGTTATTTCTCTAAGCGTCAAGCAACTCATCCATCTAAGCATTCTCATCTCAGCAACACTTAACTTTGTTTTATGCTTCTCTTTTAAAGGTCAACATTTGGCACCATACAACATTGTAGTTCTCACCACCATCTTATAAAATTTCCTTTTTAGTTTAAGCGGTACTTTTCTATCACACATTAGGCCAATGCATTCTTCCGCTTCAACCAACTATAACACCATCATTTTGAACAATAAACCATAGACATCTAAAACGTTCACCCATTTTAATGATTTGATCACCCAAAATTACAATTCTGCCACTAGAGCTACTACTAAACAAAGGCCTTTAGACTCCAATATAGATCTCCATAATTCAAATTTTTCCAGAACTCTATCTCTAGTTATATCCACTAGAAAGATATCATCAGCGGAAAACATAAACCAAGGTACATCCTCCTGTAAATGTTTAATGTGTCCACATAACTAAAGCAAAAAGATATGGGCTTAACCCCGATCCTTGATATAATCCAACTGCAATAGGAAAATATTTGGTCAATTTTCCTTCTATTTGAACACAAGTAACAACTCTAGCATACATATCTTTAATTACTTGAATATAAATTATATCAACATCTTTCTTCTCTAGAACTCTTGAAGAATCTTTCTTGGAACTTTATCGTAAGCTTTTTTCTAAATTAGTAAAAATTATATGTAAATCCTCCTTACTCTCTCTATGCTTCTCCATTTAATCTCTCAATAGATGTATAACTCCCATAGTAGACCCGTCCAACATAAATCCAAACTGATTTCGAGAAATCTTTATATCACGTCTTAACCTATGTTCAATTATCTTCTCCCATAATTTTTAAGTATGACACATCAATTTAATTTTTCTATAATTTGCACACTCTTGCTATTCTTAAAATGGGGACCAAAATACTCTTCCACCACTCCTCAGGTATCTTTTTAGTTTTTAAAATAATATTAAAGAGTTTAGTAAGCCAGGAAATTCTCAAATCTCCTAAATATTTTCACACTTCAATTGGGATTTTATTAGGTCCTATTGATTTTCCACAATGGTTTTTTTTTAAAACTTTCTCAACTTCTTTTTAACTAATGCGACGGTAAAAATAAAGTGTTTTATCATTATTAGGGATATTAAGATCACTAAGGTTGATTATATTCTTCAGAAACTTCATTGAAAAGTTTATCAAAATAATTCACCCATCTATGTTGAATATCTTACTCTAAGAAAATCACATTTTGAATTTCATCTTTAAAACACTTTCCTTTAATTAATTCTTTACTTTTTTTTTCACTTTATTTTGTGAGTTTATCTAATTTTCATTCTTTTTTGTATCTAATATATTATAAAAATCACTAAAAGAAGATTTTTCAAATTCACAAATTGTTCTCTTAGACTTTCTGTGGGTCACCTTACATTTTCCCAGCTCTCTAAGCTTTTCCATGTGTGTAAAAAGGGTTCGTCATAGTTTATAAAAAATGATTTTAATTTATTAGAATTAAATGAAAATAAGACACTCAATAGGACACAATGAAGAAAAAAGATTCATGCAACCGACCTCTCTTAATGGAATAAAGGCTTATTGTTGTTGTTGTTGCTGTTGCTGCTGCTGTAGGTTATCTACAGGTATTTAATTAATTTTGTGGAATTCATTTCAAAGTTCAAAAAAATGCATTAACTTTTATGGTTGCATATGAAAACATGAATTAAATAGGAAGAAACGGACAAAATACATATGCACCAACAAATGTAAATTTAGTAGAAAAAAAATTGCGTCAATCAGAGGTTAAGATTGGTTATTATTTCAAATGTATTATGGATAAGAAAAGGGTGGAAGATAAGTATAATTAATTGTTGTTGACATAAAAAACATATTAGTTTTGATAATATAATGATGAAGAAGAATAACATAAGTTGTTGGTGCATAAATAATATATTCATGTACAATAGCTTAAAAATATTTGCTTTTCACTTCATCTGTCAGAATAGTGTGTAAGAGCTTTAATTCCTCTGGAAGCATACTACAAAAGACCAAAAAAAAAAGCATAAATCAAAAGAAATCTTATATTCATTGGTCTTCATTATGTCCTCAACAGCCTTAAAATATCTTCCTCCCCATCTACTTCTAATCTGTGAGTAAATAAATTCAATTGGATGGAATTGACTTCTTTCTTATATCACCAACTAAGTCCAATTGCTTAGATCTATTTTCTTTTCATCATGATTAATATGCATTCATACATTACAGAAAATTTAGAGGTGCTTTTCTCCTTAGCTTACTTGCAAATAACATGTGAAGACGGTGCAACATGATTCGATAACATTATTAAGGTGTATTTTGTGTAAAGATGTGAATGCATAAACAATCAAAGTATCCAAAGATAAATTTAGGCAACATCATTCACTATAACTTCAGAAGCCCTTTCAATAAATAAGTTGATGTAGGTCAAAAAACATAGTAAAGTTTATGCTAAGAAAAATTCATGAGCAATGTGAAACCTTTGAACCACAAATATGAAATTGCATAGAAATTTGAGAATACAACAAATGAGTGAAACTGATTCATCGTGAATATGATAAAATCTACATGGGAGAGCAGAGAAAGAAACAAAGATCAATATCAAAGCTAATTAGTGCCAGCTAGGATCAAGTATGTTTATTACTTGAAAATTCATGACCCTGGAGCAAGAGCTTTACATCCTTATTTTTTAGGCGAAGATCCCTAACAAACAAATGAAAAGATTGCAAGAAACAATAAAATTTAAGAAAAAAATATGCAAAAGGGAAAATTAGTAGGGCTAAGCTCAAATAAAAAGATCCACTAAGTTGATTAAAATTATAAATATCCACACTTCGTTTTTGTTGGAGAAGACATGATTATAAAATTGATAGCACAAGACTAGCTTGGTCTACTATAACTATGGTGGAAATAGTGGAGGGGAAAAATGGCAATCAGACGACTACAGTTGGATGAAATTGATTAGGCTATAATGGACATGATATAGCGGTTAAGGGATAACTGTCGAGTAACAACGGTCCAATAATGTGGTTAAATAACGGTGGTATGAAAATGGTGCTCTGATAAAAACAATCAGATAATGTGGGTGGCTCGCAGTTATTGCTTAGATTGGTCATTGGACAAAGTTTTAGAATTCTTCAGATCTAGATATCATTTTTAAATTGAAGTATTTTTTATATGGAGAACAAGGATTATATTATAATTTTTTTTAGCATTGCAGGTCTCCCCATCATCTTATAATATTTTCTTTTTAAGTTTAAGCGGTACTTTTCTATCATAGTTATAACTCTGTCACTAGATCTACTACTATTAAAATTACGTTCTATATATTCAGTTTTAGATCTACTTACACGGAGGTCTTTAGCCTCTAAAATAACGTAAAAGAAGGAAGTTGTGTAGTCTCTATCTTTTTCATAACATTTATAATTAATTAAACTCCATTCAAGTTTAACGATGTATCCTATGGCAATAAACATATGTTAATTGCAACCATGCATAAAAATGTAAAGTAATTCTGTCCAGAAACTCGGTGGGCATAATTGTTCGCAAAACATCTCTGTGTGCAAGCCATTGCAACTTTTGTTAGATGATTCTCCCTCCGGTCAAGAAAAAAGTGGAATATCAATGTAGTTCAGAGTATTCTCAAAAAATTATATATGAAACATCTTCCTTGTTGATTAGGATATTGATATTCACACGCATCAACCAAATCTTCCTCCCAACAATTATATTATGGCTAAGATTTTCTTTTATGTGCATGTTGAAATGCACGATATGTAGATATTTTAGTAGATTGAGACCTCATGATATACATCTGAACAAATACAATGATGTTTGGATTGAAATGACATAAAATGAAATATATTAATTAATAGGTTAATTATGAATCAACAATAATTATCTTCTGCTTTTTCATTTCATTTTACATGCACTAATCTAAGAATGGTCAGATACTTTCATACTAATGTTTTTGCTTTTAAATAATTCTCTAGTAGATTTTTCACAGACCTGGTTTTTCTTATGTTTATTTGTTTTTTTATTGGTTGCAGATGCGTAAGCATAGCAAGCATTTACTTACGACTGGTCCTCTTGTCCAGGTGAAAAAATAGAAACTCAGCTCTTGTTTTGTATTGTTTTAAGCATTGCTTTTTTTATTAAAGTTAACTGTTGTAAAATCAGAGGGAATGGAAGCAAAAAATTAAATATAAATAATTAATTTGACAGCGCGCGCGCGCACACACACACACACACACATATATATATATATATGAGAGAGAGAGATCCAATGGATTGCTTGATTGATTTTAATCGGCAATCCCTAAATGGATCAAACGACAAGATCGCCTAGTTGATTTTTATTTTGTTATTATAATTATTTATGCTCTTTTTTCTTTCGATGTAGTTGTGTGTATAAATATTCATTAAAGAATACTCAATCTAAGTTTTTATGGCCACTTCTTTTCTATATGGTATCAGAGCTAAACTAGGGTACTATTTTCTAACATTTATTATTATATCTCATTCTTCTCTTTATTTTCTTCAGTTTCTTTGATTTTCCCTCCAAGGAGTTAAACATCATGTTTGGTGACTCTCAAACTAAAAGAGAGCTTCTGGGGTTACATGTCTTATATCAATTGAATGGAAGAAAGTATTTCAAGCTGTCTCGGATCTGGATTTGTGAAAACCTTCCTTAAAGAAAAATCTTCATCATCTTAAGGTTTTTCCTCTAAAGATGAAAGGCCCAAAATTTGCACTTTGGGATGAAGCAAATTCTATTATCATGAAATAGTTATAGAACACTATGATACTTGAGATTAGTAAGATATTTTTTGCAATCGTAAAAGATGTTTGGGATGGTGTCAAATAGATCAAAAGCCAAATATGTTGCTCTTTTTTATGCGGTTAAGCAAGATCTCAACAACCAAGCAACATAAATTTCTTGTAATTGAATATTTTAATACTTTTAAAGTTTATTAGTTTGAACTAGATTATTACCAAGATCTCAAGATAGTGTAGAGAATAGGCATTGATTCTCAAACAATTTGTGGAAAGAGAATTTTTTTGTTTCTTGGTGGATTCAATAATGAATTCAATCAAATTTGAGGTCAGATTTTAAGCAGAGTGGCCTTATTATCTTTAAATTAAGTTTTCTCACTTGTACAAATTGAAGAAAGAAGAAGGATGGTAATACTGAATAACATTATTCTTGAAACATTGGCTAGGATAACAACCAAATCTTATGAAAAATGATTAAAAGTCACTAATACTTTAAAGAAAGAACGAGGAACTTTTCTCCAAGGCAATCTATGGAGCAATTACTACCAGAAAGACACATACTAGAAAAACATTAAAATTTCACAAAAAACTTTGAAGCTATGGCGGGAATAAAGAAAGTCACTCAAAAGGATCAGCTTGTCTTATGAAATTAGAATGACTTAAAAAGAAATCGTCATGCTTAGAAACTTCCTCAACTTTGAGTTATGTTCTTCTTTTATTTTCTTGGCTCAATATAGTATGAATTCTATTTCTTATACTTTTAATGTCTTAAATTATTTCCTTAAATTTGGACCCGAGATTTAAGAATTACCGACCACATGCAAACCTTATCAATTTTTTTCAAACCTACAAACTCTATCCCTGTAATAGAGCAATTAAATTAGCAGGTGATTCCCTAGCAGTTGTCGCAGGTTATTCGGATATTCCTATTTCTCCCACATTCATACATAATAATGCTCTACATGTCTCTCATATAGTAGTAAATCTTTTATCAATCTAACAAAGATGTGAAATTGGGTCCGCGGGTTGCATTTGAGTCAGAACTAAAATTTAAATGACTTGAAACTGTTTGACTCAAACCCGATCCAAATATTTAACGAGTTATAAAGTTTAACCTGAACTCGATGCGTCTTCAACCTGTTGACTCGAACAAGACTTATATAACCTATTTGACATAAGATAATAGCTAGTTGGGTAAAATTTGAGTCAATCTTCGGTGAATTTTGGTTTGACACTTGGTTTCGAGTCAATTTTGGGTTGGTAGTTGAACCCGAACTCTACCCCATAAATTAAACAAATTAGAATTTTTAACCCAAACTTGATTCGAAAATTTGTAATTCAACCTGAACTCAGATTTTTCGAGTCGGTTTCCGTTCGAGCAAGCATATGGGGTCATTTTTTGACACCCTCACAATCCATAAAATCACTAAATAACATAGTTGCAAGGTAATTTATTTTATCACTTATTGTGTATTTAATGATCTTATTGCGAAAAACCTAATTGGGCAAGCCAAAGATAATAATAGACTACCTTATTAATAAAAACACTTTGTCGCGTTCCTATATCTCAACTCTCATTACAAACACTATTTGGAATACCATTAAAGGCTAGGGTATTCCTCTTTTAAAATCTTATAATGCATATTTCATTCTATTTTTATAAATGTTAAAATTGAAGAATTTTATTGCGAGACTTGTGAAATTACAAAACATCATCATATTTCTTTTGTAAAAGTGATTCTAGATTTTTTTTTTTGTTAATTCACTATGATATCTGGAGACATTTAAAAACTCCCTATCATTTGTGGAGCTATGGGATTTGTCACCTTTAGTAATCATTGCATTCAAATGGCATGAGTATATTTTATCGAATAAAAACTTGATGTCAACCTTATTTTTTTAATTTTTATTGCCTTTTTCATACTTAATTTAATGCTAACATTAAGATGTTTTACACAGATAATAATTAGGATTATTTTTATTTAATTTTATCTTCCTTTTTCGACAAAGAGGGCTTCATCCATCAATTCTTTTGTCTTTACATCTCCCAACAAAATGGTTGATAAAAAGAAAAATGGACACTTCATTGAAGTCACTATAGTTCTTTTTTTTTTAAATCAAGTTTCAGAAAGATATTGGGAAGAATAACTCTTACTGCCACATAATTGAATACCCTTGAGAGTAATCAGCATCCAAAGTTTCTTAAACTGCCTTATAGAGTTTTTCTTACGAGCAGCTTCTCAAAAGTCCCTCCAAAAATATTTTTATGCATTGGTTTTTTTTACATCCTTCAATAATATTGAGATAAGCTGATCATAGAGCACTCAAATATGTAATTGTAGGACGCTCTTTCATTTAGAAAGGGTATAAATGTTATCACCTTAAGAGTTTATTCACTTTAAATGATGTCATCTTTGATGAGAAATATTTTTTTTCAAATAAACTCATCTTCAGGGGAAGAACAACCAATTGGAAGATTAGTTTGATGAAATCACACTTTTCCACGATGTAAACTCCAATCGCTATATGCATTCATGTCCATACAAGAAGAAATAATTCCAACCAAAATCTCTAACAAACTTAAAGAATTTGTTCAATTCGTCAACATACATTTACCACTATACCTCATTTCTTGATGTTTTCTTAAATGATTTCTTCCGACATATAAACCTTTTTAAAAATATAGTTCCAACATATTAAAATATCTCAAACTCTATTTGAGACACTATAAAATAATAATTAAAAAGATGTCATGGGAGATAGATGAATGCCTTAGAAAAAAATCACATTTGGGATATTGTTCAATTACCAAGAGAAAAAAAAGGGATGCAAATGGATCTTTTCGGGCAGTTGGAAGCCTGAAACAGTTTGAGGTAAGATTAATAACGAAGGATAAAGTTAATCCTATGTATTTGGCAATCAAGAAATATTTGCTCTTATTGTAAAAATAAATACTATTTTCATTTTAATTTCTGTTGTCGGTAATTTTGGATGGTCCATGTGATAGTATAATATGAAGAATGATTTTTTAGATGAAAATATTGAAGAAGTTTATATTTATTCACCTTAGGATTCGATAGGCTCTAACATAAGAAATAAGGTATGCATATTTGGAAAAGTCATTTTGTGGTCTTCAACAATCCCTAAGAGCGTAGTTTGGCATATTTATAAAAGCCATACATGGAATGGGATACAAACCAAGTCAAGGAGACCATACTCTTCTCCATTAACATTGATAGAAAAAGTATAATTCTCATTGTATATTCTCATTGTATATGTTGATGATATAATTATTTTATGAGATGACAATAAAGGAAAATAATTACTAAAAAAGCTTGCTAAAGAATTTGAATTTAAATTATTGCGCCAACTCAATACTTTTTGTGTATGAAAGTTCATTAATTAAAATAAAGAATTTTCATCTTTCAACAAAATAATATTATTGACTTACGGAAATCAAAGATGAACTCGATAGAGAACTTCAATTAAACTTGATAAAAATTAAACATAGATGAAGGAGGAACAAAAGTGGACATATGACAATACAAAGATTAGTGGCAAAAGTAATCTATTTATCTAATTTTCACCATGAAATTGCCTTTACAGGTAGTCTTATAAATCCATTTATGCACAAACATGATGAATCTTACCGTCAAGCTGATTACAAAGTCATTAGGCCTCATAAATTAAGTCTAAGAAAATGAAGTTTCCACAAAAAAAAAAAAAAAATGTTATACTTTACAACTTGAAGGTTATACTGATTATGACTCTGCGGGGTCACCAGCAAGTAAGAGATCTACTTCAGAATACTAAACACTTCTAAGAGAAATTTTTGTAACATAGAGAACCAAAAAAATAACATGTCATTTCACTATCCATTGTTGAATCTAAACTTAGAACAATTTACTTAAAGTATCTGTGAGCTCTTATGAATTAAAATCATTTTAGGAGATTTAAAATTAGATGAGAATTGTCAATGAAGGCATTCTATGATAATAAATCTAGCACCGATATTTCTCACAATCTTGTATAACATGATCGCACCAAATATATGGAAGTGTATAGATTTTTTATAAAAAAATATTAAAAATTGGATTGATTTGCACTCCATATACAACAAGAAGATACCTTGTTGATATATTCACTGAGGGGCTTAGCAAACTCACATTCAAGTATATTGTAAGCGAATTTGGAATAATGGATCTCTGCCATCAAGGTTTAGAGGGAGAGTTGGAATGGCAATTGGATCAAGAAAGGTTGGTGGGAAAGCCAGGCAAGAAAATTTAGAGGCCACAGATTTAATGCTTACAAGGAAGCACCT